GCTTTCTTTCAACGCAAATAAAGGGGGCCGGAATTAGCAGAGAGTTTTGTAGAGTGGAGATGCAGAAATGAACTAAAGGAAAAGTGGACAGTTTTTTTAGTGGGTTAAGCCCATGCAGCTGTAGAAAGCAATGATATTCTCGGCACAAACGAGTTTGTTATTTTTGGCAAGTTGGCTGTGTGTGCACATATTATCATCCCTTCACTATCTCATATAATCACTCCTATTCCATCCAGTTTTCGCTTTCCGTCAAGGCCCCATCGAAGTTTACTTTATAGCAGTCACTAATTGAGAGTTTCCATTTTTGAGATACCCATTTGGCGTTTGCTGCATTATGATCTGTTTCTGCTGAGCTTGGTTGAATTCCAGCAAGAAAGTTTTGATGAATGTCGCTGATGCGAGTAAACTCCTTTGCTCTCTATGAACCTCATTATTTCGATCGTTCCATATTATCCATCATGCTATCGCAAACAATTGGAATTGTCATACTTAAGTTTCATAATCATCTTAGGGAACCAACCTTTACTCTCTTGCTGCACTTTATTATCGTACTCCCACTAATGGTTTAGGTATTCCCATACTAATGTTGCCAAGGACATTCACCACCCTGCACCGCAAGCAAGTTTCTTCCACTGGAATCTGCCTTCTAGCCAAATTAACCATTACCTGTATAATACCGTGACAAACCCGTCACATGAAAGTCCTAATCTTTGCTGCATTTACATCAGTTCCTTGAATTGATCGACATAACATCCCTTTAATATTAGTATAGATATAGATATTTATAGTCATACACTCCCAATTGAATTTGATGTCTCAAGTAATACCAGCTAGTTGGGTGAATTGGCAAAAAACTTATTATAAAAAATTTAAATAAAAGATACAAATATGTTTTCACTTTAAAAAATTACTCATCTTTTTTTACATATTATTTTTTTCAATACACAATTTTGTTCAAAGCAACAATTTTTTCAGTGTGTCAAAAGTCTAATGCTAATATAAAATTTTTGGTTAAATTTGATGTTATGAGTCTAATGACACAAGTTCAGTTGAGTGAATTGATAAAAAATAAATAAAAATATAAAAAAATTTAAAAATGAAAAAATACATTTTTCTGGTAAGCCACAATTTATTAATGTAACTCAAAGGTTACGAGGCTAGCTGTAGCTAGAAAAGAAAAGATCCATACACCAGTACAACCCACATGATGCATCAAAAAGAACCCAAATGTGAACACTATAACAAAGAACCTAATATCAAGGTACTACACCAAAGAACAATTACACCCAAGTACCCAACACTTCATGATGTAAACACCTATGATAAAACCCACCCTACTATGGCTATGAAAAAAAACTTTGAAGAAACATCCATAAAAAGGAGAGGTTATTGATATGCTTCACGTATAAATTAAAAGACACATACGCCTATCCGCTTTAAAAAATATATATACCTGCATACACTTTTTTTACAAATTTATTTTCAATACATTATTTTTCACCCACATAGTGGATGTCTCAAATTCTAGTAAATCAAAACGAAAAAAACTAAAGGCAAGTCATTAAAAATTACTTAAATCTAAACTTGTTTGAAAGATCTAAAGGTAATTTTTTTGAAAAAATTTTATTTCCTTTTAACAAATGTAAGTTTATTTTTAATGATACAAGTTCATCGGCAAACAAATTTTTACAAAAATACAAAAGAAAAAGAGAGTAAATCTTAAAAGGAAAGAGAAAAGGAAAGGCAATCCAAATTATTTTGGGGCTTTCTAAGCCCAAATTAAACAAAAATGGCAATCCAAAATTTGTGAAAAAATAGCAAAAGGAAAAGAAGAAAAAAAAGCATTGGTTGTTTCTTTATTTGCCATGAAGGATGTATTAGGTGGCACTCTCAATTCCTCACGAAATGTCCATTTTTCTTAGCAATGGCTCGAAAAGAAATCCCTTAAATCAAGCCAAATAAAAAAAAAATTTAATAAGAAGTCATATAATATTTAATTATATGTATAAATTCTATACTACATATTTTTTGGGTTCACTAACATCATAATGATCCTAGAAGTAAATTTTTGAAAATCAATAATAAAATACCACATTATATTTTTTTAAAAGATTGAAACTAATATCACGCTTCTATGAGAGCAAAACCAAATTAATCATAATAGCCTTTAATCCTTAACTAACCTTATTTATGTATGAAGTGAAACCAGACTAATCCATAATAACCTTTCTCCTTAATTAACATATTAACAAGTAATAACTAACATAATTGAAAAAAATATGAACTAGGGCTTTAATGAAAAAATGAAGAAGCTCTAGCAATTTCTCCTCTCTTTTCTCATCTTCTTAATTTTTCATTAATTTGATTAAAACTTACTTCTTTTAGATTAGGCTTTAGGTTTTTAATCAAGAATGTATTTGAAAACTTCTCTTCGTTTTTTTTTTTCTCATTTAACACAATTTTATTGATCAGAAACAGTCTTTACACCTGATAACAATATTTCCAGAAACTACCTATTCACCACAGGAAATATTATCATATTACAGCCATGCCTAAAACAAACAAGACTGTACCCCCTTCCTTGCCAATGAATCAGCAAAGTAATTGGCTTCTTTAAAATGTGTACAAACTTAACCTCTCTATGATTTCCAGTAGCCTATCAATTTCCGCAAATATCAAACTCACTGCTACTTTTGAATCTGGTTTCAAAACTAGAGCTCCCTTTCCCAGCCAAGGTGAAGAAGAAACATTTGAAGTGCAGTCTTAATGGCCAAAGCTTCTGCAGTATTTGACTCCTGATCACCAAGAGGGCCATAAAACAAACCTCTAATATTCCTCTCGCAGTCTCTAAGAACATCACCGCATTGATATCTCTTCCATAAATATTTATCATTTTTTGCTAGAAGTTACAGCCATCTATAGCAAAGAACAAAAGAGAATGGAATCAAATCTTCATTGGGAGTTTTTTTTTTTTTTTTTTGAGATCAGTGATTAACTTTTTATCTTAAGTTGTTATCAACTTTTTTAGATGAAGATTTGAGAAAACGATTTAGGTTGTCCTGTTTTTTAAAATTTTATTTTAATTAATTATTTTTAAATGAGTTAATTAGTGTTAAGATTTAAAATCAATATTGACTTGATGTTGGTAGGTGTATAGTACTAATCAATGATCATTCTAATATAAATTTGAACCCTTAATTTTTTTATATTTGAATATGTCAAGAATAAAATTATGATCATAAAAATTAGGAGTTTAATGCCATATTAACTACCAAATGACTGCAAGATTATTAGCACTTTTTATATAATTCAACAATATATAAATAGATTATATTTTTAAAAAAATTATAAATGATAAACCCCTCTAACATTAATTTAACCCAACCTAATCTCCTTTCCCCAAATCTAAAATATAAATGATAAATTTAAATATATCTTATCCCATTATTAGAAAAAAAGTTGAATAACACTATTTTATAATTGCTAATTTCTATATATAATTGTTTGAGTGTATCCATGTACATAATTGGACAACTATTATAGTATAATAGATTTGATTTTTTTAGTCATTTTACTTGTATTTTGTTGTATAAAATAGATAAAATTTTATTTTATTATTTTTATTATTATTTAAATTTCGTGGAATCAATGCAGAAAAAAAACCAAAATTTTCTATGAATATATATATATAGTTTTTATTTTATTTAAATTTAGTTGGATCAATGTAGAAAAAAACCAAAAAATTCTATGAATATATATATATAGATATATATATATTCATATCTATGTTCCTAACTATAGCCGTGGTTTCCAATCGATACCTCATGGATGCAAACCCTATATAATTTTTTAGGACAAGTGTCATTAGATGAAATTAAGTAATTCAATTTACAAATGTTAAGTTGATGTTCTGGATCCTTAGTAATAAGGTATAGATTAATTTTAATCTTTTCTCATTCTCCATTAATCAATGATTTAAAAATAAATATTTTAAAAAATTAATATAATCAATTTTATTAGAAATAATTAAATGTGTTTTATTTTTTGTAATCTTCGTATAGCAATTATTAATTATTTGTGGACCTGCTGTACTTATTTTATGATTATTTATTGGTTTATATGTGATCAAATTTACACATAAGTTCTTTACGGTGAAAGGGGATGAGGATTTTACTCCATTATTTCATTTTCTTTCATGGAAATGCTACAGTTAGATATGAGGTTATTCTTTTTTTTTTAATTGTTTTTTCCTTTGATACCTTTGCTGTTTTATTTTTATTATTTTTTATGTTTTTTAAATTTATTTTTTATTTTTAATTTTTGAATAAAGTAGTATGAGGGTTGTTTTTTTAAAGAGAAACTCTTTGAACTTTTGAAATCATTATTTATATGTATATATTATTTAAGCTTTTTTTAAAAATAAAAATTAACCATGCAAAGAATGGATTCAAAAATTCTAGTTTTTTATAATCGTTATAATCATAATCAAGTATTATATTCATATAATTAACTGAATAATCAATTATTATATCATAATAAAATTACAATTACTGAATAATTAATTAATAAATTATAATATAACTACTAAGTCATGATCTCATTGTTGCTTTGGAAGATTCAACATTTAATTTATTTAGTTGATGGGGTTTGCATGTGTATGAGATATATAAACCTAATTTTTTTATTTTGGAATAATTTGTAACCCTATAAAAGAAAATAATTGCATTTTGCGATCAAAATGATATTTTCAACAATAAATGCTTATTTGGCCCATTTTATAAACTAATACTAATTTCCGAAAGACAACAAATATTAAGTAATTTTAAATAAAAAAACCTCTATAAAAGAGCTAGAAATGAGAAATTGATAAATAATAAAAAACAAAGCACATTCTTGACTATTTCATATTACTTTAATATGATAGAATTTCTTTTAAAAAATTTTATATATTCTTAATTATTGACTTATGGTGATGTATTTCATTTAAAATTCAAATTCTTACTAATACAATTAGTATTGTTTTTGTTTAAAATCTAATTTTTTAAGCATCAAAGAAAATAAATTGAAAAAGCTTTTTACGATCGATATAAAATCTGGTTAAAACAAATGAAGCCAACCAATACAACTTTAGAAACGTTCTTGGTAGGCCATAGCCAGCAATCTTTGCCTTCACTACAATTTATGCCAGAAATCATTTACTAGAAGCTCAAAACTAAGTCAAAACTAATGAGGAAAAATTTGCCAATTTGAATAATAACTTGGAAAAGATATTACTAATAACTTGTAGATGATGGAGAATAGAGAATTGAATATTTGTGTAGAAAATAAAATCAACAAGACACAAAGCTACAGGCTTCCTTCAAAACAAAACAAATACCAAAAATAGAGTTTCGACAGAGACATAAAGCTCTGTTCAAAGTGCAAAATCCACAACTCTTCCTACAACTATTTTAACAGAACAGTAAGTTAAAAGAAATCCCCCATTTAAAAGATCAAATCACCAAATTTCTTCTGACAACAAAATCAACTTTATCCAAATCTTCATCACCACATTCAAACAAAAGGCAAATCATAAGAGCTCCCATGATACCTAGGCACATCTTCTGAAGATGTATAACTCAAGAAAATTGCCCACAATTGAGTAGCGACAGGTAGTGATGCAACTCTCAATGAAAGAAAACCATGCTTGTCGCCAATATGGATTTATGTATAGAACAACAAAAATTCCTAATAAAACAATTACATATGAAACCAGAAAGCTCACACAAAAAACATATGTGTCCATGAAACTACCTTCTCCTTCATCGTCTGTTGTAGGTGGTACTATTGATGGTGAGTCAGTTTTAGAGCAGTTATTTTGCAATGGAGGCCCACAGAGAAGAGGGTTTCCTTCGTAACTCCTTTCATCAAAGGTCCCAAACTGAGCTTTTGGTTCTGGAATACTACCTGACAAGTTGTTGTGTGCCACACTAAAAACCTCTAAAGAGTTCAACTCAACCAGCTGTATAGGGATTCTACCAGTCAAGTTGTTGTAAGAAAGATCCAAACTCTCGATTTGCTTAAGCTTTGAAAATGATGAAGGTATGACTCCGATCAAGTTATTGTGTGATGAGTTTAACGAATGGATTTCACTCAAGTTTCCCAATTCGGGAGGGATTTGCCCTGTTAACTTGTTGCAAGATAAATCAATCCCAGACATGTACTCAAGAATGTCACCACCATATGTGTAGGACATACTCTTTGTTGTAAACTCTATCTCTTCTACCATGTAGCTATGGGGATAAACACGTGAATCAATCAAAATAGATAGATCCTCCATTGTATATCTTATATACCAAGGGTCATCTACAAAAGACTTTTCCTCTTTCATTGCCAGAGTTAAGTTACCCAAACAAGAAGGTATAGGACCAGAAAACATATTTTCAGAAAGATTTATGATGCTCAATGAATACAACTTGCATAATTGAACTGGAATTCCACCGTCTAGATGATTTTCTTTCAAAAGAAGGACGCTTAAAGCAGAAAATGTGCCAATCTATTTTGGAATATCACCGGTCAAATTATTCCCTCTAAGATCTAATGTCACTAATGAAGAGCTATTAAAAGCAAGTGTCAATGGACCATTTAGTATGTTTCTCTTCAGGTGGACATGTCTCAAATATGGTGAATTGAAACAAGAAGGAATAGAGCCAGATAAATTATTTTGAGAAAGCTCCAAAAATTCAAGCTCATACAAGTTGCACAATTCCATTGGAATAGAACCTTCGAAATGATTGTTGGACAAAGCCAATCTCTCCAAAGACGGTACATTCCCTTTCCATCTTGGGAGCTTTCCATTAAAACTGTTATTACTGAGATCAATATCCTCTAGTGATGAATATGAAAAATCAGTAGCAAAGACATCAATATCAGGAATCTCTCCAGCAAAATTATTGCCATCCAAATACAATTTTGACAACTTGCTTGTGTTGATGAACATCATAGGAACAATCTTTCCATTTAGGTTGTTATTTGATAGCCTAAGAATATCTAATGAGCTTCTCATGATCAACTTTTCTGGTACTCTTCCAGACAAATGATTGTCCGATAGGTCTAAAATTGATAAAGTGTTCATGCCACTTAAACAAGGAGGGATATTACCTTCAAAGGCATTCTTAGATAAGAATAACCTTTCCAAATTTGGAAAAGATGAACATATATTTGTCAGAATTTGACCTTGTAATTTGTTATTAGATATGTCAATTACAGACACATTAGGATTAGGAAGTTGCGGTAACAAGAGAGGACCGGTGAAAGAATTGCCCAATAAGAAGAGATTTTCTAATTTTGTGTTATTTTCTAGCAACCATAACGGGACTGTTCCACTGAAATAGTTATAGGAAAGATCAACATATCTCAAGTCATATTGGTAATAAAGGAACTTAAGAGGTTGTAGGCTAAGTCCTTTATCTGTTGTGCACTTTGACAAACTGATGAAATTTAGTTGGAACTTTGGAATTGAAGTATGAAAGGAATCAGGTTCTACTACCATCTTGTTTTCATCACCCAAGAGAAATTTGAGATTTGGAAGGTTTGCAAGGAATGGCCTTATCTGTTGTGCACTTTGACAAACTGATGAAATTTAGTTGGAACTTTGGAATTGAAGTATGAAAGGAATCAGGTTCTACTACCATCTTGTTTTCATCACCCAAGAGAAATTTGAGATTTGGAAGGTTTGCAAGGAATGGCATTGAAATTTGAAAATGATTTCTTGAAAGGAAGACGAATCCAAGTGATGAAAGATTTGCTAAAGGAGTCAAATTTCCTGTAAATTGATTGTAGGAGATATCCAACTGAAGAAGAGACGTCAAGTTACCCAAACAATAAGGAAGTATCCCCTCAAGTGCATTCCTACTGATATCCAAACTTTTAAGGTTCCTTAGATCACACCAACCTGAAAATTTTATAAATTCATGGAAGAAATTTTAATTAAATTTTGATTTCCAAAATAGAATATATATAAAAGATATATACAAATAATCATCTACGACAGACTTCTCCTCTTTCATTGCCAGAGTTAAATTGCCCAAACAAGAAGGTATAGGACCAGAAAACATATTTCCAGAAAGATCTATGATGCTCAATGAATACAACTTGCATAATTGAACTGGAATTTCACCGTTTAAATGATTATCTTTCAAAAGAAGGACGCTTAAAGTAGAGAATGTGCCAATCCTTTTTGGAATATTACCGGTCAAATTATTCCCTCTAAGATCTAATGTCACTAATGTAGAGCTATCAAAAACAAGTGTCAATGGACCACTTAGTCTGTTTCTCTTCAGGTGGACATGTCTCAAATATGGTGGATTGAAACAAGAAGGAATAGAGCCAGATAAATTGTTTTCAGAAAGCTCCAAAAATTCAAGCTCATACAAGTTGCACAATTCCATTGGAATAGAACCTTCGAAATGATTGTTGGACAAAGCCAATCTCTTCAAATGCGATACATTCCCTATCCATCTTGGGAGCTTTCCATTAAAACTGTTATTACTGAGATCAATATCCTCTAGTGATGAATATGACAAATTAGTAGCAGAGACATCAATATCAGGAATCTCTCCGGTGAAATTATTGCCATCCAAATACAAATTTGACAACTTGTTTGTGTTGAACATCATAGGAACAATCTTTCCACTTAGGTTGTTATTTGATAGCCTAAGAATATCTAATGAACTTCCCATGATCAACTCTTCTGGTAATCTTCCAGACAAATGATTGTCCGATAGGTCTAAAAATGATAAAGTGTCCATGCCACTTAAACAAGGAGGGATATTACCTTCAAAGGCATTCTTAGATAAGAATAACGATTCCAAATTTGGAAAAGTTGAACATATATTTGTCGGAATTTGGCCTTGTAATTTGTTATTAGATATGTCAATTACAGACACATTAGGATTAGGAAGTTGTGGTAACAAGAGAGGACCGGTGAAAGAATTGCCCAACAAGAAGAGATGTTCTAATTTTGTGTTATTTTCTAACAACCATAACGGGACTGTTTCACTGAAATAGTTATAGGAAAGATCAACATATCTCAAGTCATATTGGTAATAAAGGAACTTAGGAGGTTGTAGGCTAAGTCCTTTATCTGTTGTACACTTTGACAAGCTGAAAACATTTAGTTGAAACTTTGGAATTGAAGTATGAAAGGAATTAGGTTCCATTACTATATTGTTTTCATCAGCCAAGAGAAACTTGAGATTTGGAAGGTTTGCAAGTGATAGGAATGGCATTGAAATTTGACAACGATTTCTTGAAAGGGTGACAGATCTAAGTGATGAAAGATTTGCTAAATGAGTCAAATTTCCAGTAAATTGATTGTCGGAGATATCTAACTCAAGAAGAGATGTCAAGTTACCCAAACAATAAGGAAGTATCCCCTCAAATGCATTCTCTTTGATGTCCAACTTTTCAAGGTTCTTTAAATCACACCAACCTGAAAATTTTATAAATTCATGGAAGAAATTCTAATTAAATTTTAATTTCCATGTCAAATTATATAGGAGATATTAGATAAAAGAAATAGAATAAAGGATTATTAGAAAGAGATGTATTCTGTAAGTTATATTGGAGAAATTATGGAGTCTTTAATTTACCTTGATTAGGCAAGGAACCCATGAGTCCACAGCCAGATAAAGACAAAGTTTTAAGAGAAGTGAATACTCCAATGCTTTGCAAAATGTTGTTGTTGAGATAAGAACCGTCTAGAAATATTTCCTCCACATTGCTCCACACATGCAATTCTGAGTAATCATAGCATGGAGGCATTATTAGATGTTAATCAACAAACATCTACTAATTTTTAGTCCTTTTGGAATAAATTAATGGCTTACCTTGATCTTGAGTAGTCATAGTCTTGTTTAAGTAATTCCCTAGTAGAACGAAGGTCTTAACCGATGGGAATGCCTCTACTAATTTTAGTAGTAATGGAATGCTTCCATTGGTGAAAACCCCAATTAGATAAAGAACTTTTAACTTTTTCAAACTCTTATATTCTGTAAATGGAAAAAATAAACAAGTGTAAATTTTTATTTTTGTAGATAAGATTATATATCCAAGATTTATGCGAGATGAATTTTTAATAGAGAATAATATTGAAACGGTAACAATTTTTAATATAAATTTTAATATACAAAACAATCAAGAAGATAAAAATCAAACAAAACTGTAACATGAAAAGGCAAAAAATTTTTAAAGGGAATATTTGGTATGCAACTGCAACATTTCTTAAAAAATGCAATTACCTAATGCAAATATATATCATTTCTAATTAGTAATCAAATTATAATGTATTTCTTCCTTTAAAAAATTAGGTTTAATGAGAGCATTTCACCTACAATTATTGTAATACAATTAAGTAATCACAATTCAAAATTGTGTGAGGTCTAACAAAATTTTATGTGGAGGTCACACTTATAAATGGTGGATTCTTATGTAATTCTTTATTATAATTAGAGAATTGTAATATTGTAGTAAAAAGTATATAATAAATAAATAATTTCTTTCTTTAAAAAATTAAGCATTAAATTTTAATATGCTAAATTTGTTGATCATTAAAACATCTACACCATTATAAACCTCACAAATAAAAATAAAAAAATTTATTTAAATCCATACCTTTACAAGCCACAAATTCATTCAAATCATTATAGCTCATATCCAGTTCCTCTATGTTGGTAAAAGCACCTAAGTCTGGAAAAAAAAGTAATATATAAATTTCATTAAATCATCTCAAAACACAAAATGTGTTTTTTTTTTTAAAGTATTTATAACAGAGTTAAAATTTTGGTTGAAAAGTAATAATTAATTAGATTATGACTTAAATCAAGCTTTTAGAAATTGGTCAATTTTAACTGTCTCCTAGTATCTATAAATAATTTACATAATTTCATCATTAAAGAAAAGAGACAGATAAACTTATTTGTTATATTATCTTGAAACATGAATTAAGATTTTTGTTAACAAATTCAAAATTTTTGCAAAAAAAGTAATTTTACCTTTCATATCTATTGATCCATTTAACTGATTGGAGCTTATATGCAAATACTTCAAATTTGAAAGCCCGCTAAGTGATGCAAATATGCTGTCCTTAATGAGATTATCTCTCAAATCAAGTTCTTCTAAATGGGTTAAGTTCAGCTGTCTCCCACTATCTACATAAGGTTTACATAATTTCATCACTAAAAAAAGATTTACATAATATTTAATTATATATAACAACTTAACTAATTGAGCAAATATAAATGCATACCTTGTAAGGAATGAAGGCTTTCAATTTTGTTGGAGTATAAATACAACTTCTTCAGATTCATCAAATTATTCAATTCTATGTCCAAGTTCAATTCAAATAATCATTATGTTAGCCTGGTTACTCAAATAATCTTTTACTGAATATTTTTAATGACTTTATAATGAAGTAAACGGCAAAACAAATCTAAAGCTTTAAGTGAAGAAGAAAAATCCCCAAATGTGATATGAGATTTTACCTATTTGATGAGCAAAAAAGGTTCTAAAACAGAATTAAAAAAAAAAAAGAAGCTGTAATAGCTTTACCTTCAATATCTATTGAGCCTTGCAATTGGTTGTCCCCCATATTCAGGGACTTTAGACTTGGAAGGCCAGAAAGGAATGCAAAAGTGTCGTTCTTGAAGAGATTATTACTTAAATCAAGAACCTCCAAATTGGTCATCCTTAGTTGTATCTCCTTTCCTGTAGAAGAATATTTCTATTATATGCTACTGTTAATGGGAAATTTTATACATTGATCACATAATTAAGAACTTAGTTGAGTGAATTGAAATATATATTTTTACCTTGCTTTGATGGTTAGGAGCTTTCAATTTTATTGTAGCTTAAATCTAAGTTCTCCAAATTTATCAAATTATTCAATCGTATTCCATACCAAAGAGCAATTAATATTATGTATAAAAGCAAATGTTATGCAACACCTTTTCCTGAAACAACAATTGATTTGAATGTAAAAGAAAGGTAAAGCAAGTTTACCATGAATATGAATGGTTCCTTCCAAGTGATTTGCACTCAAATTTAAAGTCCTTAAAGATAAAGACCATTCATATGAAACAATATGTTATTTTTCAAAGAGTTGTACCTTAAATTAAGAGTTTCCAACTTACTAAGTCTTGAAAGCCATTGAAAACCTATAATGAAGACAGATTAATATTTTAATTACTGTTTATCATTCATAATCATTATTAGATTAATTTAATTCCACCGTTTGCATGACTGGATCCAGTGAACAAGTTTCCTGCTAGATATAAATCCTTGAGAGATAAAAGCTGACTCAAAGATAATAAAATTGAGGTAATTGAAACTTTAGTCAAAGATCTCCAAATTTAGCTTTGCAAAACCTGCAAGAGAGTTCTTTTAAATATATAACAAAGACTTAGTGGCTTTTCCTCAATTAAACAATAATAGAATTAAATATGAAATTATAAAAATGAAAAGTTATGAATGAATTTTCATATTGCGAATTAGCAATGAAAGGACAAAAGGGACCTTCATTTTCAACAAAACCAGCGATGCTATTCCCTTCCAAATGAAGAAGCTTCAATTCCTTGAAAGGAAGAAACAAAGAGGCATTGAGATACCATCTTTCATTGTAGGACCTTGTATTATAAAGAAAGAGTCCTATGACTCGCCCGAAGGAGAAGGAGGAGGAGATGTTGCATTCGACCCTTTCCCATTGGCAGCAATCTGAACCCTTGTCCTCCACCCAGCTGTTCAGATCTGTATAATGGTTGAAGAAAGGTTTGAGTTGCAAGAGAGCAATCCTCTCATCCTCCCAACACGCATCAGTACTATACCATCTGCATCGTTCTAACAACAACAACAACACACTCAACCACAACCATTTGGGTTCCATCATCTCCTTCTTTATTATATCTCTATATTTTCAATTCTCTCTCAACTGCTACCTCTAAATATATAATAATAAGCCTTGCATCGAGCTTAATATATATAGACAATCAAGGAGTTAAGCAATAATAGTCATCCCTATAAAATGGCTTTTGAATATAAATTGATTAAAATTTGTCTACAGAATATTTTGTTAAATATTTTAATTTGGTTTATTATTTTTTATTCAAAAACAATATATATTGACAGTGCAGTAAGGAAATCAAGTCAAGGAAACGTTGGCAAGTCAAGGTCCTCGTTTACACTCTGTTTTGTAGGAAAGAAAGAAAAGGGAAAGGAAAAGAAAATTCCCTCTTCCTTTCCTTCTTACCAAAAGGAGTGTTAGTCTCTTTCTTTTTCTCCTATCGGTGGTGAATTCTACTGTTCTTGGAATTGAAACTTGAATAAATTAGTCACTAAAATCACTCTCTCTTGAAAGTGGCTGACATAATTTAGAAAAAATTTTGCAATGAGACAAGTGCGTGCCTTTACGTGAAAAATCAAGCAATAGACTTTTATTTTCCACAAATTAAAACTTTGTTCATGCTATATATATATATATATATATATAAGGTTTTGTCTCAATAATAAGAAAGAGGGATTGGAAGCATTAGATTTTATGATCAAATCTCATTGTATATATGTTGGATTTAATTTAAAATTTCTATAAATATACTAATTTTCTATTATTTAATTGTTTTGATTATTATTATTTTTTGTATCGATGATCAATCTTGATAAAAAATCATTCATTTCACAATCGTTCTCTTAGTTGTATAGTTGGAGTACTTGTTAAACCCAACTACTTTTTAGGTTATTGGTCAAAAGACTTGGATCCAGTCCTAAATATGATTTTTGAAACTTGAGTTCAACTTGAGAATTTTATTATATTAATAAATAATATTTTAATTAAATTTTAATTTTAAAATATTAATATAAAATATTATTAACATTTTAATAACAAATTTAATTGAAATAAGTAAATTAGTTTGGGAACATTTCACTTATAATTTTTTTATTACAATATTATAATTATTTAATTATATTAAAAAATTATATATGGATTCATCACTTATATGTGTGTGCTTTATATAATATTTTGATAAATCTCACATAATTTTAAATTATGATTAGTTACATAATGATTGTAAATGACACTATTGATTTTTTTTTTCATTTTGTAATTAATACTTTAGCCCATAGTGTGGCTTTTACATGAAATTGTGGAGTTTGGGTTAAAAATTCTTTCAACGTTTTCCATGTGACTTCCTGTTACATTCTATTTCTTTTTGGAAAGAAGAAACTTTTATTGCGAGTTCCATTTGGTTTCTTTTTTTAAAGGCATTTCATATCTACTTTTAAATCTATGAAATTATAACATCAGATATTGCATTGTTTGAAAGGATCGTCGCATTGGCGTCAACTTTTAAATTCACATTGTCTTCATATCCACGTTATTTAATTGAAATATATATTTGGATTCTTAAAGTATATGTATGAATATAAAATGTTGTGATTTGTCTACGAGTTTTTCATTTTCTTTTCTGATTTCTCTGTAAATGATTAATAAAATAGTAACAAACAATCAATAATATGATATTAAATTTCATAATTTAACAGTAAAATTTTACATAAGCTATTAATAAAGGATAAAAAAAATTTATACTTTCATATATCAATAGAATGAAGCTTTCGCTTTGCATGGGATATATATATATATATATATATATATTTAAAATTATTTATAAAAAATAATTTTAAATTGAATAATATGATAAATAATAATACTTAAAAGATGCTTTTTTATTTAATTTTTAATTTTTCAAAATACTTACTTTAATATCAAATTGCACTTTTGGCTTTTATACATGAAAAAATGAATTCAAAAGAGTGTAAAAAAAGTAAAATACAAAAAGAAAAAACTAAGTAAAAAAAGAAACTATTGGTCTTTTAAAAGCAACTGCAATGTTGGTTGTTGGCCAAACCCAAAAGAAAGTTATTGAGAAATCAACTTCAACTTGCTTGACACTTCATATAATTTATAGTTATATCTTCACCATTAGTTTTACTTTAGCGTGAATAACGTTTTAATTTGTGGAAAATAAAAAGTCTTGTGCTTCGTTTTACACACAATGGCATGTACTTTATCTCATTGCAAAATTTTTCTAAAGCATGTCAGCCACTTTTAAGAAAGTGTGATTTTAGTAATAAATTAGTTTATTCAAGTTTCAATTCCTGGAATTTACCATCGATGAGAGAACACAGTGAAAGACACCAACACTCCTTTCAGGTAAAAAGGAAAGGAAACCAAGCAGAGTCTACGCAAAGATCTTGACTTGCTAAAGTTTTTAAAGTCTAGTTCAGATTGATTGTGCTATTATATTGTAAAATAATTTATTTTTAAATTTTATTTAGAAATATTTAAAAGAATTAAAATATTAGTAAAATATATTTTTGATATTTTAATGATAAATAAAAACAAAATGCAGAGCTGACCAAACCTAAGATTTTTAGGTTTCAACCAAACTCGGCTCCTTTTAGTCCATAGACACCTTTATTTTTTTATTTTCAAATAATATATTTTTAGAGAAGTAAGAAAGCCAATTATTTTTGAGCTCCACAATTACTCACCCTTGCAAATACCATAATTAGGATGTTAAAAATTTATAGATTTGATATTATATTATAAATTTTTAAAATTTAAATATTATATTGAATATTTCATTATAATTTAAAGATCATTCATAATATTAATCATTTTTATAACTTTCCACCATGAATTAGACATTGTCTGTATAAAATATTGTAAATGCTTCTATGATTCCTTGTTATTAGACTCTACTTAATCATTTGTGTATTTATATTGTGTAACAATTGAAATTCATGTACTTGTGTTATGTTTTATATGAAAATTACATATCACAATTTCATGTTGACATGAAAATATAAAATATATATTTTATTTTATTAAATTATATATAATTATTACTAAAATTTTACAATAGAACAATTATGTACCTTTGTATTAAACCAAGCAATAGAGTTTTATTTTCCACAAATTAAAACTTTGTTCATACTATCAATGAAGTTTTGTTTGAATAATAAGAAAGAGGGATTGGAAGCATTAGATTTTATAATCGAACTCATAGTATGTTGGATTTAATTTAATTCTATGTTGGTTTATATTGATTTGTTTATTGATTTTTCTATAAATATACTTTTTTTTATTATTCAATTATTATTATTATTATTTTTTACCAATGATCAAACTTGATTAAATATCATTCATTTCACAGTCATTCTCTTAGTTGTTGTAGTTGGAGTACTTGTTAATTATTAGGTGTTTATAGACCCAATTACTATCTAGGCTATTGATCAAAGACTTTGATTCAATCCTAAATATGATTTTTTATGGTTAAGTAGATATGTTATAAAGCCAGGCTATCCGTCTAGGTCTAAAAGTCCGTCAAATTTTAGGAGGGTTTGAACAAAAATTCAAACATGTTAAATGGGCATGAGCACATTTTTTTAGGCCTGTTTAAATTTTGGACTGAGTATTAAACAAAAAAATTAAAATCCAAGTCCAGCTCGACTCAAATATAATATATATAATTAAAATATTATAATTATATAAGTATATATATAAATTTTTATTTTTATATTTAAAAAAGATTTTTAATTTTATTGTATAAATTAAGTTTAATGCCATGGCCATTTGGTATTTATTTTTTCAATTTGGGGCCGGTCTTAGAAAAATTTTGAGGCCCAAAATTTGAAATCGAACAAAGTCTAAGTAAATATATAAGCTATTAATATTAAGTATGAACCCAACTTGTATCAACTCATACACCTTTATGCTTGAGTTCAATGTGAGAATTTTATTATATTAATAAATAATATATTTAATTAAATTTTAATTTTTACAATATTTAATATAAAAATATTTGTTAACATTGTAATAACAAATTTTAATAAAATGGGCAAATTAGGCTGTAGGGTATTTCACCTAAAATTCTTTTTATTATAATTCTATAATTATCTTCATTTAATTAAAGTATTATATATGGATCCACCACTTATAAATGTGAATTTCATAGGTATAGCAACGGGGTCGGATCGGGATGGTTTTTGCTCGCCGCCGAACTTTGATTCGACCCCAAAATTTTTTTTATTTTTTGTCATATCTGAACCCCAACCTGACCTTAATATTTGTATAAACCGTTACTCGACCCGACTTGATCCGAAATTAATAAAATATTATTTTTTAAAATATAAAATATTTTTTAAATATAAATATATAAACATATAATTATATAAATATATATAAATAAATAATTAAAAATAATTTTTGTATAATTAAAAATAATTTTTGTATAATTAAAAATAATTTTCTTAATAATACCTGACCCGACCCAACTTGAATCCAATTTTCAAAAAAAAAAAAACTGATCCTATGAGATTAGGTCGGGTCAGAACTCCGCTGGGATATGGGGTTGTGGCAACCAATCCATAGAATTTCATATAAAACTTTTTATAAGACTTCACATTAAATTAAATTACAATTACGTTGCATATAAGCAATTGAAGAGTAACATAGGCTTTTTTTTGTATTTTTGTAGATAATATTTTAGATGGTGTAGTGTGACTTATACATGAAATCGTGAAGTTTGGGTTAAAAAATACTTTCCACCCTTTTCATTGTCGTTTCCTGTTACATTCTGTTTC